CTCTATCTAACTTCATTTCCTGTTCCTTTATTTTATCCTTTTGGATTGAGAAGTGAAAATAATATAAAGTTCTATGAATTTTTTATATATTTTTTTATCTGTAAAAATACTGTTACATAAACAAAGTAATGAGTCCATTTCCTTTCAAGCATTGTTACCTCCTCCTTTGTTTTTCCCCTACCATCCCTTCCCTCCTACCTCCACAACTACATTCCCTATGATATTTTTATACCAAGTTTTCTTTGCAGTTGAACTTTGAGCTGCTATAGAATTATGCTTTGGCTTAGATACAAATCTCCACTCAAAATTAACTAATAGAATTAAATGAAACCTTACTCTATCCTGTATAACTTACTGACAAGATATAAATATTAGGAGAAGGCTAATATAAAGATAAAATGTCTTTTCCTTTGGCATCCATCCATTCAGTAGATTAGAAGACAGTTTTAGTTTTAATTGTTTACTGGCCACAATGCTGCCTGTTCAAAAATATGTAATTTTTGAGTGATCCAGTGGTGGATTTTCCAGTGTGAACATATATTGTGGGTATAAGAGCATAATCCATTTTACTCATTCTCTCCTTTCTATCTTTTCACCAATCTCTGCCAAAACACCTGACTCATAACTTTCCAAAGATAATTTTGCAGTACAAGTTTACAAGTTAAGCTGTCATCATCAATACATGTCTTCAAGATCTTTGATTTTCAGGAAATTGTATTTTCTGAATTGTTTCCTTTCTATTTTGTCTCTTAAAAATGATGGCAATTGCTAATCATTAGCTAGTCATTTGTAATAGATTTAATTCACAAATCCTATTATCAGAGTGGAAATCACCATAAGGCAAACTACCGCTTAAGGCTGCTACAAATAGAAATGGATAGAATCAGTATGCTTAATAAGGTATCAATATTTCTTATTAAAATTGTTTTTTTAAAATTATCGTCATTTTAAGGGCATATTATTTGTCCAATTATAGATTATATCTTCTGTTGATACTTACATATTAATATGACCAAATGCATTTTCATAGTAAGAATACTCAGATTAAAACCATATATATAACTCTATAATGGTTTCAAAAAATATAAATGGCCCAAATAAGTTAATATTAGAATTTGTGAAAAAGTTATAGTTTTCCCTTACCTGGGTACAGTTGATTATGGAATACATTGTTTTTAGGTTGAGTGCCATATTTTGGTTTCTTCTCCTTTGGCACAATGTATGGACTCCATGAGATTCAATGTGGGGCACTGGAAACATTATCTCTTTAGATATTTCTCCATTTTGGACAATTTTGCTCTTGCAGCTTTCACTGTCAATCTGAGTTTCCACAGACAATCTATTGTTTCAGGTAGCAAACTGATTGTTCTAGGATTTAAGGAGTACACTTTTCTGTTTTCTTATAAAAGTCTAAGAAAGTCACACACACACCATACATACATACATATATATATCTTTATATATCTCCTTCTATCTTTGAATTATGTTCAATGTAAAGTAAAACATAAGCAAAATAAATCCTTAACTGTCGAATAAAAAAACAATATATTCAAGTATAAAATGAGGAAGTATATGAAATTATCTTTGTTGGTTTCTGTCTCTTAATCATTTTGTCCAAATATTTTTTGTAATGTGTATACAAACATTGTGTAGAGATAGTACTTTTCTCTTTGCTCAAGATCTCCTCCTAATCCACTAAACTGAAGAATAGGGTCTCCAGAATAAATCTTCATCTTTTCCCATAACTCTGTGCCTGTTATTTATGCACAGACTCTTCCTCTGTTGTGATTCTTTATTCCCTGACTCTAGAAAAAGCCTTAAATACACTTTACAGAGTGCAGAATTTGGTGATCCTCTGGCCCCACTAGAGGATTACTTACTAGCTGTACTGAAGTGATTGCCAAGAAAATAGTCAATGTCTTTCACTTTTACTAATTGGTGCACAACAATGCCAGTAGTGATTAGGTCTAGATATGTGGCTGAGATGGGGTTAATGCTGTGCTTTGAGACTAGTTTAGGATTTATATTGGATACTATACTTTTGAAAATTTCTTCATGCTTATAAATATAGTTGAATCTGGCTTACAATATGGTGTAGTTTTAAGTAAATTTTAAAGATCAGTAGCTTTTCTATATGCCAACAATGAGAATAGGAAGACTGAAATCAGGAAGACACCTCAATTTGTATTAGCTTCCAACAATAACTAGTAATGAACTTCAATGAAGATGTGAAGGAACTCTATCATGAAAACTTTAAAAACATGAAAAAGGAAATTAAATCATATTTTATGAAATGGTAAACCCTTCCATGCTCCTGGATTGGAAGGAATGACAATGTGAAAATGGCAATATTGCCTAAAGCTATCTACACATTAAATACAATACCTATCAAAATCCCCCAAACATTCTTCAATGATATGGAACAAATAATCAAAAATTCATATGGAATAATAGAAGACCCTGCATAGCAAAAACAATTTTTAGCAGGAAGAACAGTGTTGGAGGAATATCAATATCAAATGTAAAATTAGAATAATAAATAAAGCTTTCTATTGGCACAAGAATAGGCCTGATGACCAATGGAATAGAATAGAAGATCCACAAATAAACTCACCGGCCTATAGACACCTGATACGGAGTAAAAAACATAGGTTGGAAGAAAGATAGCCTTTTTAACAAATGGTGCTGGCAGAATTGTCTATACATGTGCAGAAAACTGAAGTTAGAACCTTATATATCACCCTGCACCAGAATCAATTCCAAATAGATAGAAGACTTCAGTGTAAGACCACATACCCAAAAATATTACAGAAAAGGATAGGGGAACAACTCGTGTCTGAGTTAAGATCCAGAATCACAACAAAGAAAGTTCGGATAAATGGGATTGCATCAAACCGAAGAGTTTCTGCATGGCAAAGGACATCACTAGCAAGACAAAGAGAAAGCTCACAGAATGGGAGAAAATCTCTACTAGGAATGCATCACACAAAGGCCTCATATTTATATTATACTTAGAGTTCAAAATATTAACTCCCCAATAAAATAAATCCTCATAGAAAAAACAACTCAACTAATAAGAGACACTTAAAGAGAAACTTTTCAGAATAAGTTAGAATGGCCAATGCAAATCAAAACAGCATTGAGATTCTACCTCACCCCAATGGAATTCTATCAAAATGTTTCTATCAGACAGAATGACAATGCCTGATTTGTAAGGAAATGCAAAGATCTAAAAAAATATATTAAGCAAAGTAAGCCAGACTTAAAGAAAAATCATTTCCATAGTTTCCCTCATTTGTAATAATTAGAATGTGCCTATAAATCTACTCGTAATCCCAATGGATAGTAAAACACAAAAAAATCACATTTGGACATGATAAATTAAACAGAACTCTTAACACTCACACACTGAGACCAAAGGAGAATATTCTTCGGAGAGGATCTCAAGGGCTCAATAGCTGTGTGCATATGATCCTATAAAATGATGCTTATTGAAATAAACTCCGAGAAATGGAAACAAGAGGGTTTATTTTGTACTCTTTTCAGTTTTTTTCTTTTTTTCACTGTTTATGATTTGTGTACCATTTTTCTTGTATAAAACCTTATGTGATTTAAGGAGGGGAAGAGGAAAAATAGAAGTGGTGAATGGGATAAAGGGGGAACTAATTCAACTGTGATACTCACTAGATACTATGTTGGAAATTAGCTACATAGTTTGGAGTGTAGGGATGTTGGGAGGGAAAAAATTGAGAGAAAATGAGGGAGGAGATGATATTTTTAAAAGAATTGTACTCATCTGGTTTATGTGATTGTAACCATTTACAATGTTTTTTAAAAAATTATAAAGTATAGAGAATGGATTTATCCCTGAAAATATGACTCACGTAGACAGAATAGCTGTTCTGAAGTGTGGAAATGCCATAACTCAAGATTATGTGTCTGAGTACCCTGAGTGATTGTTACAGTGATGTTATTGACAGCTGAGGAGTTTGTGGAAGAATTCCTAGCTGCCAAAGTTTGAATACTTTAAAAGTCATATGTGATTACTTAGATGACAGATTTTTCTGGTTATTTCAGAGGCATGTATCTTTTTTTCTGTACCACACAATGGAAGAATAATGACAGCTACAACCAAGGACAGTGCAGGATACAGGGCAAAGAACTGAGAAAAGAGAGAGAGCATAGGAAAGGGGGTACCAGGGCCCACTGGCTTCTGAACCCCTAGGTCCCTTTAACAAGCTCATTTATTTAGTTCAGTACAGGAGAGGTGACTACAGGTACCTGCAGAGACTAAGATATCAATGTATTTTGAAGTTGCAACCATCCCCATGAGACATAGTTTGCATACAGTCGACAACTTACTCCCTTCTCTTAGGAAGCAGACGGAAGCAACACACATTCTATCATTAAATTGTCACTTCCAACTTATCTCCAATAGTTTAAACTGTTAGTGCCAACCTCTGTCTAGCCTAGACTGTTTGATCTTTCCAGGGTTCAGCTCTCAGCCTTCTGAGTGCCCTTGAGATGCCCTTATAATCTCTTCACCCTATCCCAGTCTCTCAGCTCGGCTCCAGAGTTCCCTACGACTTCATATGATTAAACACATGGTCTACATGCCATTAGTCTGTGGTTGATAAATAATTATATTTATTATGCCAACAGTTTGGGGCAGAAAGGATCACTATTTGAATTTTAATCGATAAAAAGGGAGAATGAGTTTCTAGAAAACATCCCAACAGGGACTGGGAAGGTGGCTCAGTGGTAGAGTGCTTGCCTTGCATGCATGAAGCCCTGGGTTTGTTTCCTCAGCACCACATAAGCAGAAAAAGCCAGAAGTGGTGCTGTTGCTTAAGTTGTAGAGAGCTAGCCTTGAGCTGAAATGCTGAGGGACACCACCTAGTCCTAGAGTTCAGGCCCCATGACCGACAGAAAAAAAAATAAAACAAAAGCAAAACAAAACAAAAACAAAACAAAAATTTCTGCAGTTCCAAATTCAGAAATCATGAGATTTTCAGCTCATCAGCTTTCATTATTTGACTCCAGAGCTTCTTCATAGCTCTTTGCATTTCCTCATTCCTGAGGGTGTAGATTAAAGGGTTCAACATAGGTGTGACTAGAGTGTAAAACACAGCCACAGCTTTGTCAATGGGGAAGGAGACCATGGGCCTGAGGTACAGGTAGGAACAAGGTACAAAGAATAAGATGACCACAGTGATGTGGGAGGCACAGGTGGACAGGGCTTTGCGACGCCCCTCAGAACTGTGATTCCTCAGGGAGTACAGGATGTTCACATAGGAAGCAAACAGCATCAAAAATGTGATTGAACACTGTGCCCCACTGTTGGCAGCAATCAGAGGCCCCAAAGTGTGAGTGTCAGTGCAGGCCAACTTCAGCAGTGGTATTAAATCACACGTAAAGTGGTCAATGACATTGGGCCCACAGAAGGGCAACTTAGCAATAAACATAACTTGGATCAATCCATGAATAAACCCCAATACTCCAGCTGCCCCCACTAGGAAAGAGCACACAGGCCGGCTCATGATGGTGGCGTAGTGCAAGGGTTTGCAGATGGCCACATAGCGGTCAAAGGCCATGGCAATGAGCAAGCTGATCTCTGTTGCAGCAAACAGATGTTCAGCAAAGAGCTGTGTCATGCAGCCATTGTAGGATATGGTGCTCTTCTCTGATGCTAAGTTCACGATCATTTGGGGAGCAATGGACGTGGAGTAAAGAGCATCCATAAGGGACAAGTATGACAGGAAAAAGTACATGGGGCATCCCAGGGCTGGGCTGACGAAGATGGTGACTGAGATGAATGTGTTGCCTGCCATTGTGACCAAATAGATGATAAAACACACAGCAAACAAGAGCTTCTGGAGTTCAGGATCTTGGGTGAGGCCCAGCAGGATGAATTCTGTCACATTGTTCATTGTTTGTATTAATATTTCTTGGTTTGTGTGAGTATGGTCCACCTAAAAACAAATTGTCGTTCTCAGTGATGTGAAGTGGAAGTCAATACAAAAATACATTGTTGCCTGTTTTGTTCTATCTGTAAAATCGGTGGAGCTACAGTTCCTCATATGTGTTATTTTACATATCACATAAAAGAAGAACACTTAACTGAATCAGGAAGCCTACTTTCTATTCATTTCAATCAATACCGTATTTATCTTACAATTAACACAGTGAATCAATGTGTCATTAGGCTTATGGCCTAAAGGCACATTCCAAACATTCTGTCTTCTAAGAATTTAGATTTGGCTTAATTCCATTTTGTGTAGCAGTAGCAAACATCATGAATATAAATTACTGTTAAGTTATAATAATAACTGTGTCCAATTATAGGTATATAAACAATATTCTTTATTGCACCCAATTATTTATCTAAAATCAAGGGTTCAAGTTTTGCTGCTTTAAAGTGGCTTTGTTATGTGATTTATACTTTATCTCACAGGAAAACCAAAGTTTGTAGAAATAGAGCTTCAGTTGGAGTTCCTTCCTTTCCCAGAAACTCTTGTTATTAAAAGTTACTGGTTGGGCTGGGAAGGTGGCTCAGTGGTAGAGTGCTTGCCTTGCATTCATGAAGCCCTGGGTTCGCTTCCTCAGCACCACATAAGCAGACAAAGCCAGAAGTGGTGCTGTGGCTCACGTGGTAGAGTGCTAGCCTTGAGCTGAGTTGCTGAGGGACAGCGCCCAGGCCCAGAGTTCAGGCTCCACCATGGACAAAAAAAAATGTTACTTGTTACAACCTTTTAAGCCCTCCATGTTGTGTCTGGCTCAACATGGGCCTGTATTTCATGCTCCTTCCTTCATACTTTTGGAGGTTGGTATTAAATGATAGGAAGTTCCTGTATGTGGTCACAGTGTTTCATAAATAAATTATCCTTGCAGTTGAACTTCAATCAGCTATAGGGTTCTACCCAGGATTATTTAAGTAACTGTAGTCTTATTTACCATAGTTAAGATATGGAACCAACTCAAATGCACCTCAGTAGATGAATGGATCAAGAAACATGATATATATATATATATGTGTGTGTGTCTATGTATCTATATATATGTATCTATATATATGTATCTATATGTATACCTATATTGGAATTCTATGCTTCCATCAGAAAGAATGACACTGCCCCATTTGTAAGGAAATGGAAAGAGTTGAAAAACACCATATTAAGTGATGTAAGCCAGACCCAAAGAAACATAGGACTCATGGTTTCCCTTATTTGTAATTATTAGTGTATATCTACGATAAGCCTAGCAGGTGGGTAGAATAGCTCAATAGCTATGTACATATGACCATATAAGATAATGCTAAGTGAAATGAACTTCAAGACAAGAGGTTTTTTTCCTTTGTTGTTGTTGTTGTTTTTAATGTACTATGTGACTTCTTTTCTCTTTTGTGTTTTTGTTCCTGTGGTTTATCCCATGTTGTCACTGTATTAGATTTTGGTAAGGTGAACCAACAGAGATACTCACAAGACATGTTGGAAATGAGCTGTAAAACTTGGAGGGGGGGGACTATGGTGGGAGAGAAACTGGGAGAAAAATAAGGGAGGGCGTAACAAGTTCGACAAGAAATATACTCACTACCTTAGGTATGTAACTTTAACCCCCTCTGTCCATCACTTTGATGATCAAATTTTTAAAAAGCAAAGAAAGAGATACATATCTGCAGTCACATTTTACACATTTTACCTTAGGTACTCTGACATTCCTGTTGACAAGATATATCTATGTTGAGGAAAGCTAGGATAACACAACTTTCCCCTGTGGAAAGTTCCCCTTACTCATTTGAGTAAGATGAGTTTTTAGATTTTATTGATACAGGTTTATCTATTGAATAAAGTAAGACATGTACTTTTTGACTCATCTAAATGTGGACTTTCAGTAGTGAGGCGTATTTGTAATAGCCAACCGCATGAGCTACATTATTTATTCTCTGCCCTTCTCCCTTTTGTAAGATCTGCTATAAAAAAGCTCATAATTTGCCCAAGACAATTTCTGGGCACAGAAGTCAGTATTATGAACTCACAACATTATTAAAAGGAAAAATATGTTGACATTTTGGGAAACATTGTCTGAGTTATTTGTTTTCTGTTTTTGACTTCAGTGAATGATCTTTGTGTCTAGTCATTCTTAGTGAATTGAATTCACAAAAGGTAAGTTCAGAGTGGTAGCCTGGAAATCATAGAAAGACAACAACAATGACAACTCACCACCACCAATAAAACAATCCAAACTCCAAACTTCATGGCATTACCAACAAAAATGTGTAGAATCAGTGTGCATAGTGAATATAAATAGTAACCACAATGTGTAAAAAGTATCAGATCTTTCTAAGAGCATGTGACTTGAATTAGATGGTGTATTTTCTATGGATATTTTCATGTTATCGTACTCAAATTCATTTTCAGAGCAGTAAAGACAAATTTTTAAATCAAACTACAAATGTTGCTTCAGACAAATAGTTGCATAAAATAATCATAACATTTTGGTCAAAGATGTAGTTTTTACTGACCTGGGTGCAGATGATGATGGAATTCTCTGTTTTCAGCAAGAGAGCTGTCATTTATATCTTGCCCTCTGAACAATCTGTACTAGATGAACTCCAGGAGTTGAAAGCTGAGCATACTGGAATTATTTTCTCTCTAGGCAATTTTACAACTTTGGGGGATGGTGAGGGATAGAGGGTAAGGGATGGGAAAGGGAAACAAAGGAGGAGGCAACAATGCTTGAAATGAAATTTCGTCATTATCTTGCCCAAGTAATTGTTACCCCTCTGTATGATATTATCACAATAAAAAATAAAAAAATAAAATAAAATTGTGGGGAAAATGATTGACAGTGATGGAAGGGGTGATGTTTATCACTAGAAATTATGCTTCTAACATGAATTATAGAATTAAAACCTGTTGGAATAACTACTTAATAATAAAAAATGATTGGAAAAGTAAAAAAAAAGCAAAAATAGTGGGACTAGTGCCGTTATCCAAATGAGAACCTTTCAAATATGGAAATCAAATAAATCAAAATGATCAAGCTTGGTTTTACAGGCACTTTGGTTATTTTTTTGTCTTGTAAATAATGCACTATGTGGAGACATAATATGTTTCACTCATCACCCAAGATCTTGTGTCTACCCTATTTTCTTAGAGACAGACCAACCTCAAAAGTAGTCTCTCAAACAAATCTTCCTCCTGTTGTTCTCTGGCTCTACTCTGTAATTTACTCACAGATCATCCTTTTTTGTGATTCTTTCTTTACTGACTCTAGAGCAGCAGTTAAATACACAAACAGAAGATAGATTTGGTCATGGTTTGGCCTTTAAATCACCTGGAGGATTAGTAATTGGCTGTTGCTAAAGTCTTTGTGTAGACAACACTCAATGTGTTTAATCTTTTCCCCAGGTGGTTCTAACAAACATGATTAATGTTCCATTTTAGAAACGTTGTTAGAATCAAGTTAAAGTTGGCTTTAGCTGTAGTTTAGGATAAGATTTGAGTAATATAATTTTGTGTTTTTTATTTTTTTGGTACTGGGGATCGAACCCAGGACGTTGCACTTGCTAGGCAAGCGCTTTGCCACTGAGCTACATCCCAGCCCTTGAGTAATATAATTTTGAAAACTTCTTGAGAAAGTTTTTCTCTTCCATTTGGACATTGTTGTTCCTGGTGTAGGATATGGTGTGGTTTTAAGCTAAGGTCAAAGTTAGATAATGGATTTCTCTCTGAAAACTTGGCTTATTTAAACAGCTGTTGCTTTGAGGACTGGAAATGCCAGTATTCTGATTATGCTTTGAGTTTGGAGAATGTTTTATTATTGATAACTGAAGAGATTTAGGTGGGAGGATTCCAGCTCCCAAGATTGGATGGTATCAAAGTCAAGTCAACTTCTTTCCAATATAGAGTATCTACCCTATAAGGGTCTTGGATCCTTTGTGTTTTCTCCACCAAATAAAGCATTTTGAGGCAGGAAGGGTGGGAACAGAGGCAAAGTAAACTGAATGCAAGAGTAAGGTGCTAGGGAAAGTGAAAAAATGAAAAGCCTCCTAGTGGGGTTGCTATAGGCCTCCAGCTAGGAGTGCAAGCTGCCATATGCAGTTCTGTCTACTGCTCCCTCAGCAAGGAGGAAGAGAGTGTAGATTTCTCAGTGCAAGAGAGCCCGGAAATAAGTCGACTGTGGAGTGTCTCTTACATCCCCTTTGGATGAGTGTCAGCTATTCTACATCTTGTTCATGTACCCCAAGTGCAGGGGAACTTTTCCCTGCACAGGTCTGTTCGGTGTCATTGAGGGCATTATTATGAGCAGGGCTTACCTTGGTTTTCCAGTCTTCCAAAGGAGAGGGGCTGCAGTCTCTGAATTTTTTAGTTCCCAGGGTCTTCTGCAAGAGGAAGGGGTGTTATGACCATGGGGCTCCTGCCTCTCCCACATCTGCCTATTCTTTTCCTGATGGCTAACCTCTCAACGATTCAGATGGCATGTTTTCATGGTTAATTCAGCGGAAACTCCATAGAGAGTGATGATACTTAGACTTAGGTACCAAACTTTCCAATACTTGCTATTGAGAAAAACATATTCAGGCAGATTGTCATGAATTAATGTGCTCAGATTTTGAGAACTGAGCAGTGTAGACAGGAGACTTGACTCTTATGTCTTTAAGTTTTTTATTTTTGGATGCAACTTCTAAAGGAATCTCCTTTTCTGTCCTTTCCTTTCGTTCCCTTCCCTCCCTTCCTTCCTTCCTTCCTTCCTTCTTATTTCCTCCTAAATCAAAATTCTCCTGAAAACAAAATTGACACAATTAGTAAGACCAAGACCCCCAAAATAAAGAAAAGCTTTCATTTTATTCCCAATAGTCATCAGATTTTCATGTTTGTTTGCCAGTAATCCTATCCATACCCCTTTTGTTCCTTGTTCTATTCTTTCT